AATAAGGAACTGTGAACTCCTCTGGAGGTTTATTTTGTTTTTTTTCTAATGTTTTACATCTATATGTTTATTTTATATTCACCCAGTTGCCTCCAAATGATATTTTTTATCACCACTACCACGATCCTTATGCCACCTCTGCCTAATTTTTAACAAATATAAGCATTTAATTCCACTATCATTCACCTCACTAGGAGTTAATATAAATAATACTTTATCCGATTCCCTGAGGAACTTTCATGAATATTTAGAGGGATGTTCAAACGTGAAGGTGTAGTGCGGTCAATTTCATTAGCATTATTAATGGGAAAATATGCGGTAGTTTTGTCATGGCCTTTATAACAATACTTACCACCGTTTTGAGTTAACAATGTCGTTCATGATTCTATTTTAGAGGGGGATACCAAGACTGACATTTTGGCAGAAATATCATTTTGCGTTCTTCTTTTACCAGTAGCCCAAGGCCTCAGCTTTATCAGTACGCAATGGGTGTTGTATACTGCTTTGGTAATCCGTCATTATTCATTACTTTCACCTACAACCTCAAATGGGATGGTATTATACATTAATTATTTCCTCTGCAAACGACTGCCCAGATTTATTTTGTCGCTTTTTCCATCAAAAATTAAAATGTCATAAACGATTTGCTCTTAATTTTATCAGACACAAAAAATAATTAATCCTCATCATTTTTTAAAAAAATTACCTAAATTTATATGACAAGAAAAACAAATTTCTTAAAAAATATATAAATAAATTGCATATAAGTTTCATTAGTATTGAATGGCATTTTTGTAATTTAAATAGATAGCATTTTTTTGTACTAAGATATAGATAGCCCTTATCAAATTTTTTATCTCCGGGTTTGGCAAAAAGTTTTGAAAATTAATATGGGTAGGACTGGGCTTGGGAAATATTCCTCAGCATTAATATTTGCTTGCACCTGACTTAGGGAATATCTTTTACAAAATATTAAGGGCCGGGCTAGGAAAAAATTTTTAAAATTATTATGGGTTGAGCTAGGCTTAAGAATTTTTTTTTTAAATTATAAGGTCTTGGACGCTTGGAAATTTTTTCCAAATATTATGAGCTTGGACCTGGCTTGAAATTTTTAATGTTAAATGTTAGTCTTATGTAATCAGTAATATATTTACAAAGAATTTTGATATTGGGTAAAAGCTCATTTAAATATATTTTGACTCAAAAAATAGTTTCCACTCTTAGTCCTAATGGGTTGGACTCAATGACATTGGTTGGACTTGACCTAAATGGGGAGGGAGGGGGGTTAAAAATAATATAAATTGGATATGATTTTTAAATAAAAGGTAACTTTCTTAAAAAACGAATAAAATTCTCATTCTCCGTCATTTTTGACAGGCTATCTTCTAGTTAATTATAATAATATAGTCATATCTTATAAAATAAGTTTAAGCTCTTTGCTTGTAATATGCAGGTTAGCAAAATCAGCAATCTTTATTCAAGTTTATTAGCAATCTTATTTACTTTATGCAATATATATCTATACTGAAGATTCCATATATAGCATAACAACTGACACAATTTTTTGGGTTCCATATAAATTACATTTAATTTTATAAAATGTCATTGCTCCAGACCCACTCTCAAGCTTAGAAATTATCAAGGCTATTAAATCATTTAAAAAGGACTCGGATGGGGGTTAGACGGTTGCCGAACAACTAACCTCCAAAGCCATCCATTCCATACCATAACAGTCTAATATCAGCCTTAACCAAACAACATTTTTAAAAACCTTGTTTTACCATACATTCTACTCTTAATTTTTGGCGCTCGATTTATTGCGCTATCCAAAAAAGAAGGGAGGCATTTGCCCCATTGCTATTGGGTCTATCTTTCGAAGAATCATATCCAAAATCATTAGTTGGCGATTAAAAGCAAACTTTCTACTTACTTCCTCATCCATTAGGATTTAGTATTCCTACAGGGTGTGAGGGTGGTTCACACACCACACACCATTTGCTCCACCAATCAAACAACATTTTTTTTTAAATTAGATTTTATTATTGGATTCATTCCTTAAGAGATTTTCATTCCTTCCATAATTCATTCCCAGAATATTCAACTTATATATCAGCTTATTATGGTCATGTGCCTTTTTTAAAAAATGATGAAACAACCATAGAATTCTGTCAAGATATACAACAAGGGGACCCCTTGAGCCCAGCTATCTTCTGTGAGGCTATTCGAACCATCATAGACAACATCAACAACAAATGCAATGTCATTTTTAACATATGGTATTTAGATGATAGTACAGTAGCAGGCCCTTAAGATAAATTAATATGTCCAACAATTTTATTCTATTCCTGATAGCTTTTTTATATTCAATAAATCAAGCTTTACTTCTCTAGGCTCACCTATTTGAGGCAAAGCAGCGATATCCAAATTTAATGAAGACTTCCTGATTAAATTTGACCGATTTCACACATATTCCAAAACCTTTTGTTCTGCTTCTCTTTCCCAATTTCCAAACATGTTACTAGATTTGGAACTTAAAGCTAAAATCTCCTTTGAATCAATACTCAACCTCAAATTCTCGCCTAGTTACTGGATGCAAGCCGCTCTCCTGTGCAAATTTGGCGATATAGGCTTTCAATCTCCTGCCTCACTGAGTATTGCAGCTTTTCTCTCATCACACACTAAAGGTCAAACAATTTATAACATTTTAGTCACCACTACAGATCCCTATCTGGGGTTGGCACTAGAGCTATGGAAGTCAAACGTCCCAAATACTTTCTTTATCCTCCTTGTAGTAAGCAGAGTATTGGTGCCGAAAATAAAATAGAAAAAAATTAAATCCTAATTTCTTTATTAATTTCTATATAAATTAATCAATTTTAAATTAATATAAAAGGAAAAAGTAACAAAAAGAAAAATAAAATAAAAAAAAGATTAAAAATTTAAGAAAATTATGAGCGAAAAATGAAAAGTGAATAACTCCAATTGTTAAACACTTAAAGTGTGAAAAATCTACAATTAATACCCGTTTTCCTACCATTTGCATAGTCTAAGATTAAATAATAAAGTAACAATTTTAATAAAACATTTTTTTTGAATATTATCATAATTTGAATTATAGATCTTTTTGTAACTGAATAATACAACACCCTTCCACTTAGTTAGACCCACCATTCAGCGAATGACCAACTTTCTTTCGATTTCGACACTGGTCTTCTATTTCCACCAAATCTATTCTTCTTAATCTTTATGTCTTCTAATTTCTAACGACGGCTGTTCCTTGTCTAGTATTCTTAGTTTCGAACGGCCTTCGTATCCAATTACAGCTTAAATTCTTGAATTCTATCTTCTGTTACTTGTCAACCCCTGGTAAACGATTAGCTCTTTATCTCTGTAGGCAATTGACGAACTCGATTAGCTCATGCTTTCAACGATTCACGAAGACTAGTTACCAACTATTGATTGATACTATTCTTTCTTAATCTTTTTTTCTTCGAAGGCCCATTTTAAATCCTCTTGATAACTTATTCTAGTCTTTGCTTGTTTCTAACGTTCTCTTTTAACTAATGACTCTTTATCATGGTAATTTACTATAACTGGTAATGGATTACGAGTAAATGATTATCGATGAATTCTAGTCTCTTTTTCAATTATAGTCTGTCTTAAATTCTTTTGGTAAATTATCCTTAATTCAATACACGTATTTGACACCCCTTCCTTTAAATCACCTACATCCATTCTGAAATGCCCATACAGGATAACTAACTATAACAAGTGATGACTGATTCTCTAAGACATGAGTTTTACCAATCTTTCGTGAAGGCATCTCTTTTGTCCCATAATGTCTACGATAAAGATCTCTTATAACGATCTTTTGTCACGATCCTACCGGTACCAATCTCTTGTAACAATAACCATTTTCTGTAATAAAGATATTACGATAACAATTTCCTGTATCTAAAATTATCCAAAATAAAAATTCGTTCTCTAAATGAGCTCGATTGCGTCATGAATTTTCTAATGAAGAAATCCGTTTCTCTTCCTGAAGATCTTGGTTAATCAACAACCTTATATTCTAAACATTACCAACTTACATAAGATAATAAAACGTAAATCTTTAAGAATTATAACAAATTTCTTTTAGCTAAAACGATCACTTGTACGTATAACGATCTCTTATGAGTTGTGACAAATTTTTTTAACCATAACAATCTCTCGTAACTAAAACGACTAATTCTATACTCTTTTGAACTACGACCATTTTCCTAGATATTGATACCATTGTTTCATTGATCTCATTCTTTGCCTTAGTGTCGATGGTTATTTCATACATCCCCTTCCCCCTTTATTTAGAAATTTATTTTCAGAGTTAATTAGACTGAAGGTTTAGGCCCATAGAACATACTGTTTCGGCACTATTGTAGTAAGCAGGGGTATTAATGCCTAAAAATAAAATAGAAGAAATAAAATTAAATCCTGAAAAAGTAACAAAAATTAAAAAGAAAAATAAAAAAAAAAGGTTAAAAATTAAGAAATTTATAAGTGAAAAATAAAAAGTGAATAACTCAATTTGTTAAACATTTATAGTATGAAATATACAATTATCACGCCTTTTCTTCGCATTTGCATAATCTAAGACTTAAATAATAAAGTAACAATTTTATTAAAACATTATTTTTTGAATATTATCATAATTTGAATAATAGATCTTTTTGTAACTGAATAATACAACGTAGATAACAAGATTGGGTCTTACCTTTAATCCAGAATTCCGTTGAATTCCTTTACTCGAAAGCTTCCTTGAAAGGCATTTCCTCGATCTTTAATCCAGATATCTTTTCCTCAATAAATCAAGGTATTGATCCCCCTCCCCCCAATAAATCAAAGTAATAATAAATTAGAAAACAAAGATATAATTGTTATATTTTTTGATGGACGTCGAAAGCTTGTTGATCTATTTAAAAACTTATGGAAATAAGTTTCCATCCTCGCTTATGCGTTACTATTTTTCATGCATATTCTTAATTTCTAATTATTTTTTTTTAAATAGTGTGCACTTAATATATATTAATTCATTTGATATTAATCTTCGGATTGAACTGTAAAGGAATTTATATGTCCCCACTAAAAAGAAAAATTGAAGAAGTTGAAAATGGATCACACTCTTCATTAGATGATCATAATCCACCCAAAGAAAAATTACGCAAAAGAAAAAGTAGGAAAAGTGAATCAGAACTATTAGCACCTGATAGGCTTGAAGATTTTACATATCAGGTTACATCAAATTAACTATTTTTAGACTATTAAGCATTTATGCGCTTTTTTTATATAAATTTTTATAATATTTGATTGATTATTATATTTTAAAAAATCTTACAGGATAGTCAATGCCCCCATAACAGGCCTGTGCCATTTAGTCATGATTCTATTGCCATTAAAGAGAGAGAGAAAGTAGATTATTCTATACAAATTACTAAGGAAATGGCTAAAAATGGAACTGGTAAATGAATTATTTCATTAAATTTTTTTTTTTTATTTAATAATTTTTGATGAAGCCTTGTCCAATCTTGTTTTAGAATATATAGTTTAATTTTTTTGCAATTTTTGTTAGTCTTGTGCCTAATATTTACATTTGTCTTACCATTAATAGTGAACATTATTTATATAGTAAAATAAAGTTTACTAATAATAATAATAAAAAATACTGGGAAATTGTGAAAAGCCCTATTTAGATGATTTTTTAAAATGATATGATATTTACAACAACTTGACATTAAAAAAATTAATAGCAATTATTAGATAAGACAGAAGCTTATGATTGTGTTATTTTTTTCTAATTAATTTATTATTTATGAGATGGAAGGATAGAGTAATATTATAAGTTCATAAATATCTCTAAAAATTTCATATTTATTTCACCTGGGTTGAGATCCATCAAAAATTTTATCAAGTGTAATGTCTATGCTTGAAATTAAAAAAAATAAGCTTCAGTCCTGATCAGGGTTGCTAAGTCAAAATCAACAAATACTGCTTCAAAAAATTATTATTTATTTAGAGATGATGCTTGTAGAAACTTTTAATGGGGGAGAATTTTTAAAATTGTGTTTGAGGTAAAAAGTTTGGTGTATTATAAGAAATTTTTTTGGGACCCACCATTGAGGGGGTGGGATCTGGTAACCCTGGTCCTGATAGATGTGTGGCCCAAGTCTGGTTTCAAGGTTATGATGGATTAATAAAAAAAAATGCAATGCATACAATGAGTTATTAAATTAAAATTTGGTCAAGTCACATTTATTGAAATTATTTAACACCAAAATTATGTTATTTTCCTTCATTTTAGATGTGTTAAAAATAGTTGATAAAAGAACATGTGAGAAAAATTAAAAATTTTAACTCTTACTCAAAAATATGTTCCCATTATTAGCTTATCATTTGATATATGTAATATAACAGTTATATTTCAAATAATTTAGCTAATAAAATTTTTAATAAATAATTGGATTTGAAATGTCAAGGAAAATTTAAAATTAAATTTTATGCATACCTAGAAAATCATAATAATTAATATTATTGTTTAATTATTTTATTTATTGTTTAATTATTTTATTTATATTTTAAATAAATCAGGTCCAGGTTCATAATCCTATATGTTTTTGCATCTGGATTTGGCAAAAAGTGAGTTTGGTTTGTTGGTTCATTCAAGAACCCTTGCAATATCCCTGCTTTTAATTTATTTAGAAGATTGAATTGAATTATTAAAAATCCTCACATTTTTTGATCTTCAAAATAACAAGGATCTTTGAAGATTTTTGAATTTTGAACTAATATTACCTTGATTAAAATTTTTTCTTAGGGCCACAGGCTCATCAAAAATTCTGATTTTGCATGTCACATATATCTCAAACTCAAAATATTTATACCATATTGACCAAAAAACATAATTTTCCGATGATCCCTTTTGATTTTTTACTAAAATTATTATATAAACTAAGGTTGATATAACCTTTCTGGATTTTTTTTAGCCTTTTAACCTTTTTTAAAAGCTAGTTTATTGATTAAAAACTATGCAATTGTAGATAATAAATTTAGTAATAAAGTAAAGCCTTACATTTACATATACTTTATTTTTTTACAAAATTAAATTATTTAAAAAAAATTTTGGGCATCTTTTTCCCAAAATAAAAAAACTTCATACAAAAAAATGTGCTACTCCAATTTAAATAAATTTCAAATGAATACAAAAATGAGAAATTAGCTATTACAACATCATAGGTAAAATCTATTAAAATTATTTATGAAATAAGTCATCTTATTTATATCATAGATACCGTTTTTTATTTTCTTCCCCTAAATGAATAATAATTTATATTTATTTTTTTATATGGGCTTGTGAATGAGGCTTTGGGATGTAGGACAGGCTTTGGGCCAAGCTGCACAAATCCCTAAAATAAAAATATGGCATAGGGTCTTTTATTGATATATTTATTTCTATTATCAATTATAAAAGTAATTTTAAGTATTAAAGATCTGCAAAGCTTGGCCTTCAAGCTGGGCTAGGAAAGGGAAAACTCATTTTCAGAATTTCCAAAATAAAATTCAAACTTGGATGAATTAAATATCTGATATTTTCTTTAGTAATATTTGCACACAATGGCCATATAACCTTTATAAAATATTATCGGGCTAATTTAGACTGAATAAATTATAAATTGTATAGCTTATTGGATTGTTAAAAAAATATGTGTAAAATTCAATTACTTTGAAAAATTTATTGAGTAAAGCCAACGTTTTTTTTAATAGAAATTTATCTATTAATTTTTTCTTTTTATATTTTTATTTAAAATTTAGCCTAGTCCTATAATTTAAGCTCCTCTTGTGGGCTTCATTATGCAGGTAATACTTAAAATACAGTATAAATACCTATTGATTGATAATAGAAAGAAATTTAGTTAACAAAAGAACCTAACCATTTTTTATAAGTGATCTGCATGTTCTGCCTAAGACTTTACCAAAATTCCAAAGCCTCATCCACAGGTTAGACATTTAAAACTTTGTGATATATAGGAAAAATATTAATCTTTTAAAAGGATAAAATAAAAAACGCCATATATAGTATAAAAGTGATTATTTATTTTTTAGTTTCGTGCTATAATTAATGTCGTCAAACCTCTTCTATTTATTTTGTACTCATATATAATGATGTTTGTTACAAATTTAATTAAAATTGGAGCGACCCATTTTGATGTTCATGGTAGAAGATGCCTCAAAAATTTAAATTTATTTAATACCAAATTGATTATTTACAAACGTGTAGTTTTTAATTAAGCGATCATTAATTAAATGAAAACCGACACTCATAAAAAAGGTAATTTTTTCTGCTTTTAACCCAGATATTCCCAATAGTATAACAGCTGGGGGACTAAAATTTTGCTTACACGGATCTAAGTTTATATGTAAAATTTCGTAAAAATCAAAAGGGGACAAACCTTAATCGATTTGACAAGGAATGAACCTCATTACATTTCTTTATTATAATATTAAGGGCATTAAATTTAAATATTTAATAATAATTGATAATTTAATTATATATTTATCTATTTTATTTAATTAAATATTAAACGAAAATATTTCCTACTTCCAATTTCTTTTTAAATTCAATTTATATTTGTGATTTCAAATCAGGCAAAAGAGAAGAATAGAAAAGAGAGATTGGTCATTCACTAATTATTTGTATATTTGTTTTATAAAAAAATAAATAACATCTATTCATGTCAACTCTATGCCATTTTAAAGTCTTATATTTGATTTTTTTTATGTTCTACACTATTTTTCTTTTCTTTCTTCCTTATTTTTTTTATATCTTTTATTTCCTTTACTAAGTTTTTTCTTTCCTTACTCTTTTTTAAAACACTTTCTTTTCTCGTATATATTCGATCCTCTTATTTTTTGGCAATCTTCTTTTAGTAAAATATTTTTGTCATTTGTTTACCATTCATTTAATGGCTGGCTTGCATTTAATACGCCTATTCTATAAAAAAGAAATATGGTTTTATTTATTAATTTTTTATTTAAAATATTAAGTGAACTGTTTATTTAAATGAAGCAAGAGTGATTGGTAAACTCACAATCCCGCATAGGACGTTGATAAAAAGGAGTGAGAATAAATTAAATGGAGGGGTATATAGAAAAATATTTAAAGTATGATCAACTCCCCTGAATCATAATAAATTTTTTATTCCTTTTTATGGAAAATTTAGAAATTAATAAAGCGAACAAGCAACATCACTCGGTGAAGTAGTTCTTTATTTTTTGTGTATAATGTTATTTAATAAATAATTGTCCACAATCTTTCTGATATTTTCTGAATGCATATAATTTGTGTTATCTATGGGTAGTGTTGTTGCAGGTTAAAAAATAAAAAAATTAAATTACTTATTTTATCTAATTAAACGGTAATTACATTTATATAACCTGTGGTGAGTTCATATATTTTAATAGCGATTCTCATTCCTTTTTAAAATTGCGTAAGTAAAGAAAGAACAAAAAGAAAAATAGGAAATTAACAAATATTGAGAAAGAAAGTAAAAATTAAAACGTTATTTTTAAATCTATTCGACTCCTTTTTTTTAGACAAGTAGCTTTAACTAATGGTAAGGGATGGGGTATATTTACATTTTTTTTAATAAATGAGAATTGATATGCTATTTTATGATTGTCCCATCAATTCAATTAGATTTACCTACATTAACATTATAGGTATATAAAAATGTGAATAATATAATAAATTTTTTAATGGATATTTAAAAAAAAAACAAGTTTTGAAAATAGTTTTAAGTCATATATATCTTTCATTACTCGGGGACAGGGAATTAAAACCGTGGTTTTTTAAGATATCCAGTCTCCTTTCAGAACTGTGTTAATTGGTGAACATTATATTTATCAGAGACCTGCAGGCCCGCCCCTAAGCCCGGCCTGGCTGGGGTACGCGGGTTTGACCGTATTTTAATAAATATACCCGGGGCCTGAAAAACTTTTTTAAAAAAATACCCGGATAGGTGTATTTTTAAAACCAGATATTTTAAATCGCCATTATTAGCTATAAAAATTAAAAAATATTTTAAAAAAAATCCACGATGGGCCGTGCAAATGGTACTTTTGGGTCTTTGATATTTATCAAAAAATTTTCACATTCACCTGAAAAGTTATTTTTATCAAATTAACGGGTTATTTTTATTAAACTAAAAGACTAAGACATTAATATAATAGCATAGATTATGCGCCTTAAAATTTAGGATACGTTAAAAATAAGCTTGTGTATAATGGTCAAATTTTTAGGAGTTAACTAAAAATATTTACATACATACTACTCTTTCATCTGTAAAAAAATGATAATATTTTTCCTAACATTTACCCGATTTTTATTTTATAAATCAAAAGCTCCCAGGCCTGTACGCGTGTACGCTGACGGAGTATACGATTTGTTCCACGTAGGACATTGTCGCCAAATATTGCAAGCTAAAAACATATTTCCTAACGTTTATCTTATAGTTGGTGGTATATTTGATAATAATATACAGCATATATATATAATTTTATGAATTTTACATTAAATTTTAAGCGAAAGAATATAGCAAAAATTTTCTTAGATTATTTTTTTTTGTTACAAGAACTGAAGTTTAACCGAGCCGACTGAATATAAATAACTATCCTGGGCGGAAACAGGTTCCTAAAAACTTAAGATTATTCGCCTACAATATTTTTTATAATCTAATTTTATAATATATAGACCTATGTGCCGCCGGTGATTTTTGACCACTTCGACGCCGCTGCCAAAAAAGTGTCTCAACACGCCGCCACCGATGTAAAAATCTAACAGCGTGAAGGCGTGATACATATTTTTTATTATTAAAAATAATATTTATTTTATTTATTATTAATGAATTATATTTAGAAGAAAAATAATATTAAATATATTTTAAATTATTAAAAAATGCGATTTTATTTTTTAAAATTAATAAATATTATTTGATATAAAAACATTTAATTAGTAACAAGATGATATGTTATTATTAGGCTAATAATTTACAGAAAGGTATTGAAATATTATTATATTTATTATTATTTTAATTAATACTATTCCTTCGTTAATCCTAAAAAAATTATTTTAGATAACTTAAAAAAGTTATTATAACCTGTATTCTGCGTAAAATTATAAGTTATATTGGAATACAATGATTTGATTTTTCATCTTTTGTATAAGACCATCAATAATATAAGTGTAATACAATATTTGATTAATGCAATCTACAACTCATCATATAAATTTTATTTTTTATTATAAAAGGAAATTATAATTAATGATTTTTTATAGTCATTATAACATATATAAACATAGCAGGACTAAAACATTTATAATGGATGCAGCTTTGCATCTAACAAAATACGGTATATCCTTGCAAGCAAAAATTAACAGAGGAAGGATATTTTAGATTTGGATGATAATGATCCTTTTTATGAAGCTCTTTTTGGGTTTGATGATGATAGTGCAAATCAATAATCATATAAGAAAAAACATAAAACCTTAAAATTAAATGTGCCTACACGTTGGCATAGTATTTTAATAATGCTAGAAAATGTCAGTAGCAATAATAAAAATCCTAAAAATATTCTATTAAATAGAATGGAGAAACCGGATCTTAAATTATTTAACTCCAATTGGGACTTAGTGAACTTTTAAATCTTAAAACCTTCAAAAAAGCTTGAATCTTTATCCGCCCAAAAAGGATGTACTATTTATTATTTCGTAGTGAAATTAAAAATTATTTGATCGTAAAAGAATATGATGGTTCTCCCATAGCATCTCTTAAACAAAATATGCTTATTAAATTTATCATAGACTTTCAATAATTGATCTCCAGGTAGTATTTTAAAATACATAAATTGTTTTATTTTATTCATATCTCTTTGTTTTATTTTTTTACTTCGGTATTAGGAGCACTTTGGATCCTTGTTCTCAATTTATAAACTTAGTAAAGGAATATTTAAAGGAAAATTTTTTTACTCCAGTGCAATTTTTATTCCAACAGGTTGCTTCTCTGTTGCCTTAGAAGGACGAATTAACCGAATGTGAAACCACTGAAGGTTTTCAGAATTTGATTATCTTAAGACTTTGTCTACAAAACATTCATCAATTCATAACGAGAATCTGGAACAACGAAACTATTTAAAGAGTCTAGAAAATGAGTTTTATTCATTATTTTCGTTTCATTATTTAGATATAAAAGATGTCATAGATTTTTGGAAAATAAGAGCATTGAATCTTCCTTAACTTACAATATTAGCTACAAAGGTCCTGTTTGTTTCAGCTACAAGCACACCCAGCGAGTGTATATTTTAGCTGGGCTCACACTGAACTTTAAATAAAATGATATTTATACATGATAATTATAATTTAATAATAGCGTCAAATGTTAATTATTAACATTAAAGAGCATAAATTGTTTATTAAGTGTTTCCAATGAATCTATAATTATAATTAAAAATTAAAGTTAGAAAAATATTTGACTCCGCCGCCGATTTTCGTGGCGGCGTCTAAATTGATTCGCCGCCGACAGCCGATCGTTTTAAAAAAGAAACGCAGCCGCAGATAATGCTGTCGGGGCACAGGTCTAACTATATGAAAATTTTTATAGAAAGTGTATTGGATATCGTTCTTTGTGAATAAAATATTTGAATCTTTCTATTAATATTGATCTTTAGAACGTAAATCATGTGGGCTTAATTCAAATAAGAAAGAGGTTTCTTTGAAAGATCGGATAAGTCAACAGCGAGTAAAGACGAAAATAGGAGCAAAACTGAATTAAAAGTCGGCAATGGACGGGTTAAAAATTTTAAAAGGCAGGCGGGTGGATGGATTTTTTTAGATATATAGGCCAGATTATTTGCTAATATTTATAAAAAAATTATGGGTGGGCGAACGGGTTAAATTTTTCTAAAGCAATGGACGGGCGAGGGTTCGGGTTAAACCCCGCTCATTGCAAACCTCCATGCTGCCTGACATAGAAGACTCCTGTTGTATTGTTTAACGCCAAAATATGTTAGAAATATAGTTGATGAAGCACGGATATGTAAATAATATATCGCTCGTTATCTATTCATCTAATGTTAAATAAAATTAAGTCAGATCCCAAATATTTTTTACTTAAAAATATGTGTCTAACTTCCATAAGTATTATATGTCCGTCGAAAGCATTATCGGTGCCGGCGTTTCTTTTTTTAAAACGATCGGCTGGCGGCGGCGAATTAATTTAGAACTTTAATTTTTTTAATTATAATTATAGATTCATTGGAAACACTTAAAATAAAATTTATGCTTTATTATGTTTATAATTATAATTTGACGCTTTTATAAATATTATTTTATTTAAAGTTCAGTGTGAGCCCAGCTAAAATATACACTCGCTGGGTGTGCTTGTAGCTGAAACAAGCAGGACCTTTGTAGCTAATATTGTAAGTTAAGGAAGATTCAATGCTCTTATTTTCCAAAAATCTATGACATCTTTTATATCTAAATAATGAAACGAAAATAATGAATAAAACTCATTTTCTAGACTCTTTTAATAGTTTCGTTGTTCCAGATTCTCGTTATGAATTGATGAATGTTTGGTAGACAAAGTCTTAAGATAATCAAATTCTGAAAACCTTCAGTGGTTTCACATTCGGTTAATTCGTCCTTCTAAGGCAACAGAGAAGCAACCTGTTGGCACAAAAATTGCACCGGAGTAAAAAATTTTTCCTTTAAATATTCCTTTACTATGTTTATAAATTGAGAACAAGGATCCAAAGTGCTCCTAGAAGTAAAAAAATAAAACAGAGATATGAATAAAATAAGACAATTTATGTATTTTAAAATACTACCTGAAGATCAATTATTGAAAGTCTATGTTAAATTTAATAAGCATATTTTGTTTAAGAGATGCTATGGGAGGACCATCATATTTTTTTACGATTAAATAATTTTTAATTTCACTACGAAATAATATATAGTACATCATTTTTGGGCGGATAAAAATTCAAGCTTTTTTGAAGGTTTTAAGAAAATTTAAAAGTTTACTAAGTCCAAATTGGAGTTAAATAATTTAAGATCCGGTTTCTCCATTCTACTTAATAGAATATTTTTAGGATTTTTGTTATTGCTACTCACATTTTCTAGCATTATTAAAATACTATGCCTACGTGTAGGCACATTTAATTTTAAGGTTTTATATTTTTTCTTATATGATTATTGATTTGCACTATCATCATCAAACCCAAAAAGAGCTTCATAAAAAGGATCATTATCTTCCAAATCTAAAATATCCTTCCTCTGTTAATTTTTGCTTGCAAGGATATACCGTATTTTGTTAGACGCAAAGCTGCATCCATTATAAATGTTTTAGACCTGCTATGTTTATATATGTTATAATGACTATAAAAAATCATTAATTATAATTTCCTTTTATAATAAAAAATAAAATTTATATGATGAGTTGTAGATTGCATTAATCAAATATTGTATTACCCTTATATTATTGATGGTCTTATACAAAAGATGAAAAATCAAATCATCGAAACTCCAATATAACTTATAATTTTACGCAGAATACAGGTTATAATAACCTTTTAAAACTTATCTAAAATAAATCTTTTTAGAATTAACGAAGGAATAGGATTAATTAAATTAATAATAAATATAATAATATTTCAATACCTTTTCTGTAAATTATTAGCCTAATAATAACATATCATCTTGTTACCAATTAAATGTTTTTATATCATTATATTTATTAATTTTAAAATATAAAATCGCATTTAAAATATATTTAATATTATTTTTCTTCTATTTATAATTCATAAATAATAAAAAAAATAAATATTATATTTAATAATAAGTATGTATCACGCCGACACTTTTTTGGCGGTGGCATATTTGACCGTCAACGCACAGGTATATATATATATATATAGTCCTGATCAAAAATATTTTCATTTATTCAGTTTCTTTTTATAATTCGCAAATCTATACCATCGATCATTCAATATTTTTTGCATTGAAAAAAATAAAACTATTGGAAATAACAGTAAGGATAAGGATTTCGAACTAGATTTATATTAATACTACACATTAAATTTAATAGTCACCAACGACGAGCTAACCCACAAACTCAAGGGCAAAACTGTTATGACGGAAGCTGATAGATATGAGGCCGTTAGGCATTGTCGATACGTGGACGAGGTCCTCCCGGATGCTCCGTGGGTTATAGATCAAACATTCCTCAACGAATACAAAGTAATAGGTTTTTATAATCTAACGCCCATTCAAACCTCCTTTAAATGTTTTTTAAGATTTGTGAAGTAAAAAGGGGGCACGGGCTTTGGATTGGAACTATAATATATAACTTTAGGGGAAAATAAGTTTTAATAAATTCGATGATTGCATTTAAATTTTACGACTGACTTATCTATTTACAGAGGCAAAATGGAATAGTTCATATGGTCAAGATTAGAAAGCTTGGCTAAATTTTTATTATCTCCTAATTTCTCTTATTGGCATATTTCCCATCCTTTCTTTATTAATATCGTATAAAATCATCTATATACAATTTTTTCCTCTTCTCTCTATTCCTCTCTAGCCAAGGCACAACTGATTTTTTAATCTTTATTTAAGACTGTTGGACACATGCAAGCTACTTAAGGGAATACCTAAATTTTGCCCTTTTTGACCATTGTATTTTCTACGAACCGTTTTACAAAATCATCCTTAGTGGTATTATTATCACGTTTCATTTATACTTATTTCGTTTGATAAGATACAGGGGAAAAATACTGGACATTTTCCTTTTGCTTCTGTTTTTTTTTCTTAATTTTTTTAAAAATCAAATTTGCTCTCCCATATTTTAATTATTTACTTTTCATATATTGTATTACACTCGATAAATACAGCCGATAGAAATCCTAAAATTCCTATTTCCCAACCTCATAGGATTTTCATCCTATGCTTATCATTCTTTTCTTTTCTTAAAATAATTTACTTTGTCATTCGCGAAGTCCTTGAATTTATCATTATTATGAAAGTTATTATATTATTATTTTTTTCAAATAGCTAATGATATATATTTTTTAATTAAAATGATACGATATTCATAGTTTTGATAAAGATTTCCGGCCTAAAGAATAAGGTCATTTACTCGCTTTTTCAAATTATATTTTCTATTACTCTTATTATTTATTATTTTCTCGTTCTCTCCATTTTGTTCGAAATTAAATTTAAGATTGCATCTAATTTAATTATCGTTTTAGGTACAAAAATGATGTATCGGTATCTTTTCTGAATATTATTAGAGTATTTATATTTATGCATTTGATCGATTATATTTTGAATCTTTTTTTTATTGTATTAGAAATATTTAGTTCTATTTTTTGTATTAAATTATAAGAATAAACAGAATTTTTTTATTTTACTAAGGACAATCAAAAAATCCTTGAAAAGAGAATCAAGGATTTATTATTTGATTTTCTTTCTCCTAATAGATATGAATAAGGATACACATTTTGGCACCCATTGAACTTTGAATGATTTTATTTTGAGCGACTATCATTATACTTTAATTGAAGATTATTCTAGTATAAAAGTGTTATTCATAAAATATAAACAACACTCCTTTCCAGCCACCAGTAGAAATTTTTTTAGCTGACCAAGAATGTGTTTAGACTGGATTTCCTCTAGCTTTGAGAATGTTTTATAAAAACTAGCAATAATATTTAAAAACATTTAATTATATTTTTTATATACAAATAAGATATAAAAAAAATTGGCTCACTTTAAAATTTGAGTTGTAACAATAAATTTTTTTACATTATGCAATACATATGATTATAATAAAGAGTATATCCTAAATAATACATTTAAGTCCATGTATGTTTATCTAAATACACCGGAAAAGTATCTTTTAACATCATCTATAGATAATGAATATAAACATTAAAATGTCTAGATTGATTTCGTGGCCCACGATGACATACCTTATAATAGTGCGGGTTGCCAAGATGTTTACAGGGATATCAAATCCTGGGGAAAATTTCAAGCTACTAAAAGAACAAAAGGTTTATAGATAATTTTAGTTTTTTTCCGTTTTTTTAACAAAATGTTTTGTTATTGTGAATTAAAAATGTTTAATTTTGCAATTTAATAATAATTATATGAAATGAAGTCATATTTCGTGAATTTTAACCACCAAAAAATAATTGGATATATCCCCCCCCCCACCCCACCCGTAATTCTAGCCTAAACAATGTCAAAATTAAAAGTTTCATTTCTTATTATAGGGTCAAAAATTTTTGTTACTATAATTATTTATTTACATTTTTTTTAAAAATATTGTTATTACAAAGATTTTTACTTAGCTTCTATAGTTACTAGGTATACTAATTTGTTAAAAAGATCCCATATTTTATCTTCTCAATAGTGTGAAATAAATGTTTATGCTATGAAATAATAGCTGGAATTCTTATAGTTAAGCGTATATTCACTTCTAAAAACGAAGAAGGATCACCAGATATGCTAAAACCAATTGGATATTTTTTTGGGATCTGGGGAGGAAAAAATATGAGATATATTATATTTTTTTTATGAATAAAAATCAAGATGTTAAAATTTTAATAGAAAGTTCTCGTTATATGTTATATTCTTTTTAAAGTTTTGCAACCTATGGTATGGCTAAGAAATCAGACGTTAATCCTCTATATAATTCAACAAAAGGAAAGATGCATGTTTTGGTCTAGATGATAGGTTATTAGGCTTCGAATTTTATGAAGATTTGAAGCTTTATATTTCTGCACGTAATTAAACATGGTTATATTTTCAGTATAAAAATATTTTTTTTATAAATTTATTTATAGTTATGCTAATTTTTTAAGGCATAAATATTAATATATTAAAAATAATTATCTAATTACAGTAATATATCTTCAATTTCTTTTAAAATAATTAAAATTTATTCACATCATTTTCAAAAAAATAAAATAAATTTACAATTATCTTTTGATAAAATAAAAACGATTTCTAAAACATGATATAAAAAATATTATATTATATAATTATAAATAAATCAAAAAAAAAATATAATCATAATGTACTATTTTTTTTAATGGGCTCGATCCAATATTAATTATTACTGCATACTCTTCCCACTTTCAGGCTTAGCATAGAAAAGGTATGAAATAATCAACAGGTAAGTAAACATGAAATAGTTTATAATATATTAAAATATTGATGGATCCTATATGTTTTTTAACCAATAAACTGTAAATCCTGATCCTATATAATATCCTAAATAATATAACTTATTTTTAGATTTTTTATATTGATTATTATTGTAAAATTGGCGCAAGGATCACTCGATTTCTTAAAAAAAAATAGATCAGTGGTATGCAATAATAGATTCTTTTGTAAAAATTTAGATTTAAGACAAAAGAATTTGGGCATCTTGTTGCAAAAACCTAGAAATTTATAAAAAAACGACTATTTTTTTTAAATGTTAGGGGAGAAACAGTGAACTAACAAAACAAAGAATCAAGCTTAAATACTATTTCAACGTTATTTTTAAATTATTTTAAAATGCAAACTCTGGTCATGAATGATTGGAAGCCATTCCCGTCCGATCTAGGTCGAACAACAACGCGTAGCCCCGCATTGGCTGTAATGCAGTAGTACCCTCCATTTGCGTCGATTGTGGACAGTAGTGTTGTTAAACGACTCGTTTATTTTTAAAAACGGCTAACTCAATATTTTAGCCAGAAAAAATATTGCCTAAGCCTCAGATTTGGCTACTAGATGCCCAAACCTCTGTTCCTTCCACTTACAAAATCTTCAGGCTTGCGCAATAGTATTCTGGATGAAATATTGAGTTAGCCGTTTTTAAAAATCGGCTCAAATTGAGCCGTTTAACAACACTAGTGGCCAGTCCATCAAATCGAATGCCCACTATTTCTTGCACTGCAAGTCCTTCGCCGGGCGTCAACTTTATCGTAAATCTATTAACAACATTCTCCTAGCTGCCCTCAAAAAATTAATATCCCATCCACTCTTGTACCAGTGGGTCTCTTAGATGAAAACGCCCTCACCCAGATGTTATATCCCTTATCCTCTGGACAGTTTCCAACTGACCTGGGACTATTATGAATCTATTTTGCAGCGAAAACTAACATCTCATTATCTGCCATCGAAAATAATATCAATCTTTAAAAAATATTAGCTGGTTTCACAAACACAGTTTTTATACCAGTAGTCACCATACCTTAGGTATGTTCGGAATGAGGCCCTCAATTTTATCAAACCATAGGTAAGAAAGAAGAGACTTTACAGGTGACTCCAACTAAGGATTCAATACACGTCAACATATTTATATTTCCTAAGCATTCACTCCCCTAGGGTGACTTGTTCCCTTTTTAATGTTTTTTAGACTGTGTCCTAAATTAAAAAAAAAACTAGTCTAAAAGTGTCAAATTTATATTACTCTTATTTTCTTTAAGATGAGCTCTTTTATTTTTCTTTCCGATAAGATTTTTTATTTTTCTTTCCGATAAGATTTTTTATTTTCTATATGATAAGCTCTTTTATTTTTCTTCTTTTAAATGAACCTCTTTTTTTTTACTGACAACAAAAAAATATCAAACAAAATTTTTAAAATCCACACAAGTTTTTTTATTATTTTTTTTCTACGCTATATACATATTAATAAAAAAATATTATCTTTTTTAAAAAATATAATATTGAAAAAAAAAATATTAAAAAAAATAATATTTCAAAATAATATTGAAAAAATAATATTAAAAAAAATAATATTAAAAAAAATAATATTGAAAAAATAATAACTATTACTATTTAACTAAAATGAGTAAACGATACATGTTAAAATATACATAACTAATACTACATATAGATAATATAAACAAATCCCTAGCTACGACAAAAAGTTTATGAATTGCACAACTTTCATGTATTTTGAGAGATACGAATTATGTCCCGAATCTTCCATTAAATTTTGTAAATATTTGATGTGAATGATTTACTAATTTTATATTTGAAGACACAAATCAAAGTAGAAAAACAATAGATTTTGGAAGGCCGTTATATATAATAATTAAAATATTATTCATTCTAGAGATCAAGGACTTTTTAAGATATTTGATAGTATTCCACCTTATTCTAACAAATTTCGCCAGTTGTTCCACATGCATGTGGAAATATTCAAATACATTCTTACAAATTTAGAATCTACCGCTCTAGTTATACATAAAAACTATTAGTATGAAGCATCAGCTTTATATAACCCTCGGGTATTATGATTATATTTTTATATAAATAATCTTAATATATTTATAGATGATTAAAAACTGGTATTTAATGAAACCCTACAAATCAAATTTAAATGATAATAAAACTAATTTTAATAAAAAAATTATCTATTGCTAGAGTATCAGTAGAAGCTGTTTTGGAATTATTGCCAAATTTAGGCACTTCTTTCTATAAATTCTCGGAAACCATTATTATTAATACTGTACAAATAGTTAAGACCGACTGCCTATTACACAATATTATAATAATGAATATTAATTTTGTATTCTATTATGGGCATATATGTAAAATTTTTATATATCTATTTTTTTTAATTAACATTACCTTATATAACTATATTTATGTTAAATTTGTCAAAGTTATTGCATTTTTTGGAAAAAATTTACATTTTATTATTGTTTCCTAAAATTTTTAGATTCATCTTCATATCATATTTTTAGTGTTGTAAACATTTCTAAAAAAATCGAACGCGTTCAACAGCCACCTTCAAAAAAAAAGAACGCGTTCACGCGTTTGTTTAAACTTTACTGATATGTATTAAATTGTTATTTTGTTATTTTTTGTAAAATGTTTATTTTCATTATTATATATTATCAGATGAATTTGAATAACAAAAAATAGGACATCATTATTATTATTATTTTGATGTGAAATAAAAAAAATAAAATTGCAAGAAATTTATTACTACTAAAAATACACTACAAGAATGGCGCAGTCTATAAAATGTCTAACGGACATTAATCTGTGTTACAAAGATTGATACGACTTATTTAAAGAATTTAAAAACACACAACCAAAGTTAACATCATCACATGAAAAATCCCTGTTATTAACATCAATAGGATGTGATACTTATAAAATATTGGTAAATTTATGCACACCAGATAGTGTTGAATTTGGACCGGTGGGTCCCCCAGTCTGAGTGGGTAAAATACAATCTGTGATCGGGGGTCCAGGATGGTCGATAACGGGATCCAGGGGACCGGGTTTTATCGATTTTGTCATGGAATCACTCGGACAACGTAGTGGAAATAATATTTTCAAAGTTTATTAAAGTCGAAGTTGCAAAGCAGGAGTAAAAAGAAAATCAAAATCATCCAATAATTAATCAAAAAAAAAATGTATATAAATTACACAATCAAAAAAATATTTAATGCTCGAAAAAGGTATTTTTCCAACCTTTATAATTTTTAAAACAAAGAGAAAAAAAAGGTTGTTATATAATCGCGATACATTCATTCTTGAAACTGGTTAGAACCAGTTTCATATGCAATATAAAAATAAGATATAATATCAATTTCATAACAAAAAAAAGGAATATGGGAAAACAAAAGAAACAAGTGGAGAAAAACGTAAAGAAAGTAAATAAATTATACGGGACAAGTGGTGAGATAGAACATAACAGATAGTCCAGGAAATAAAGAGGTATTAGAAATACATAATATTTTAATCAAATTTTTTCATCCTACTCCTAATATAATTGTAGAGAGATATAATTTTTATCAATATAATCAACAAAATGATGAAAAACTAATAGATATATAAAATCTACGAAAATTAGCAACGAATTGTGATTTTGGGGAATATTTAAATACTGCATTAAGAGATAAATTTATATTCGGAATAAAAAATCCAAAAATTTTACCAAGATTACTATCCGAAGACGATATAGACATAAATAAAGCTATTCAGATAGCTACTGCAGTAGAAACAGCAATAAATACAATTAATACAAAATGATGAAACT